TTTTTCCCCTCTTTAAAAACAAACTGAATTCTAGAAAGTTATTGGGGTTAGGGGGAGTTTTTTTGATGGTGGGGGTCACTTAACGTGTAACATCAGTCTGTTGCTGATTTTACAAATGCCAGGTTTTTTTGTATTGATCCGCAGAAATGAAGAGAGTACAGTACACGTTTTGGGCTTTTTGCAGGTCACTTTTTATATTAATAAAATGTGTTACAGAATGTTCTGCCTGTGATTGATCACAAGTACGTTCTGGTTTGTGTTTGCTTACCCATGCAAACTGTGAAAATGGGGAGAAGAGTCATTTTAATTTTGTCTGTTACTTTTTTCCTCTGCTCTTCACTAGTCCAGTTACCACAGCCATCGTTCAGAGAGGAACTCTGAGAAAAGGCTGTGTTCTGGTTGCAGGGAAGACCTGGTCAAAAGTGCGTTTCATGTTTGATGAGAATGGCAAAGCGGTAGATGCAGCCTCTCCAGGCATCCCTGTGGAAATCATGGGCTGGAAGGAAGTCCCTTCGGCGGGAGATGAAATCCTTGAAGTAGAGTCTGAGGTACAAAAAGAACTGTTTAATGGAAGACTTGCACTGCAGTAAGGTGGATGGGAAGGGGCTGAGTGAAAAAGAAGTGATAGCTTTCATTTTAAATAACCTGGATAATCTGATAAAAGATGAAGGCTGAGCATGGATATGAAGAGACCTGAGCTGGGTGTTCTGTAAGAGGAATGAGGATTTGCATATTGCCTCTTTATATTCTGCTGTCCTCTCCTCATCTCCATGCATCCAGATTAACCTGCTTTACAATTGCATGGAGAAAGCAGGCTGCTTCTGGAATTAAAGATGAGTCACCTTTGGTTACTGCTTTTGCTTCTCATGGTCATCCTGCCTTTCTCCATGCAGTCCTGAACGGCTTCTGCTGGGGTAATGTGGTATGTGTTCTGGTGTGTTCCCTTTCTAGAGGCACAGAAGACTTTTTTTTTTTTTTATATGATCACACTATCACTTTACCTGGAGAGTAATCCAGTACTTAATGGTATCAGTGTTTTAGTTTCAGAATGAGAGAACTAGTTTCTGACGAAATAATAAGCATAAAATACAGCTTGAAATAGGTGTTGTGAGAGCCGGACAAATACCCCATGAAAGAATGAACAATAACTTAGTCTCTTTGCAATGCAGAGATACTGTAAAAATAGGCCTTGGGTCATGTTGTTGTAGCCCAGGGAGGAAGCTATTGTGCTCATTCTCTCCATCCTTGCAGAAAAATCTGTTGTTAAATGTGAAAGAAAATGAGTGAGCCTGTAGAGAAGATGCAGAAGGATGAAACTGCATTAATGTGGAGTTTTCCGATGCAGTGCTTTGAGAGGTAATGTTTCTTGTCTTCCTGCCCAGCAAAGGGCACATGAAGTTGTGGCTTGGAGAACCTACATTGAACAACAGGAGAAGATGAAAAGGGACATGGAAGTTATTGAAGCAAAGCAAAAGGAACACAGGATGGAATATGAGAAGAAGCAACAGAAGCTAGCCCATCTGACCTGGAGACAGAAGAAGGCGGCGCTGTACAATGCCAATAAGCATCTAATGTATTCAAAGCCTAAAGAGAGAACAGAGGTGGACAAAAATGTGCTATCAGTAATTGTTAAAGGTGCTGTCCTATTCTGTTTACTGCTCCATTGTTTTTGTGCTTCTCAAATGCTCAGCCTGAAGCATAGTTCTAAACTATTAACAAAATTTATGTTACCAGAAGCTTGATCAGTTTGAAACAGATTATTGAACTTCTCTCAGTAAGAGGAGGGGCATCAGAAAACATCCTGTGGTTGGAACAATGTGCTTTCAGCAGGGCCAGGGCAGCAGGAAAGTAACAAGCCCAACCCCCTTACCCAGGAACTCCTGAGTAAAACCCATACAAGTGCCTATATATCAAAATTTTAAAATTTATTAAAACCCAAGTGATACGAGCAGCAGTACTGCATCAGCAAAATGGAGGACAAGAACAATTGGATATTGGTTAAAGTGGGACAGGAGGCACTTGGTTTAACCTTGTGTTTACTGATACACAAGCAGTGACAGTAGTAGCTGAAAAGCTATGCAAACTTGCCCTGAAAGTGACAGCCTCTGGTCCTAATGTATTGATCCAGTTCATTTTGGGAATAAATAGACTTGTTAAATGTGTTTTAACATACTACTGAAAAAAAACAGTAAGAATGATAGATGCCAAAAGACTTTATGTTGCGTAGTGTGGAGTTGTCAAGCCCTTAGTTCTACTTCACTGTTTCTTTGATGTATACAGTATTTCCATTTATACCCCCAGGTGATGTGGATGGATCTGTTGAAGCTATTCTGAACATTCTGGACAGCTACGATGCTCACAGTGAATGTAAATTGGATATCATTCATTTTGGAATGGGAGATATCAGTGAAACTGATATCAATCTTGCCGAAGCTTTTAATGGTGAGCATGTGTTTAAAAATCAGTTTACATTAGTATAAACTCTTTATTGAAATGGGTGGGTCTCATTCTGGTTTTGTTTTCTCAATAATAATTAGAAGCATCAATAAGGTAAACTTGTACGTCTCTTAAAAATGTTTCCTTTAACATCAAACAGTGATGCAGGCCGGGAAGGCTAGAAATCTCATGCAAATGGAAGGACTCTGACAAGCTGTTGCCAGTAGTTGACTCTTCACTCAGATTGCTTTCTGATGCTCACACAGGGCAAAGCTAGAAAAGCAGATTACAAAAGAATTCCCTTTTGCTCAAGGAGGTAATTAGAAAGACTGTTGGTCCTGTTGGTATCCCATAATTCTCATCTGCTGTAGAGGGTTTGGGGTCATTGGACCTGCCACAGTCCACAGGTGGATGAGAATGATTTAGAATTCACTTCCAGCTTAGCTTGGACAACCAAGCTGTTTTTTCCAGCCCAGAAATGGGAGGTCCTTGTCCCTTTATGTAAGCTCTGGTGAGCTGCATGTAAGCATTAGTTTCTGCTTTGGTACCTCCAGGTCTGTCATCGGGAACTTTCTGTGAGGGCTTTTTTGAGCCAATTGCTTTGACACAAGGTTAGTAGCGGTCGATGTGCAAGAGCAGGAGAAGTAAATGGTCCCTCTTTAAAAAGGAAGCAGTAGTAAAATGTTGTTTCTTGTTTTGATGGCCGCTAATTCTAACCTGCGTTTCAAGTTCAATATCACAGACTAGACACAGCAGACACTTCCATTTACTGTTTAGTGATCTCTTGTCATGACCCGCCAATTGCTTTATCAGGTGTTGTATTTGGATTCAGCGTGAAAGCCAATGAAAGTATTAAACAGCTGGCTGCTAAAAAGGGAATAAAAATTAAACTTCAAAATGTCATCTACAAACTTATTGAGGACTTGAAAGACGAACTAAACAGCAGACTACCCCCATCTGTGGTAGAGAATACAATAGGTGAGTTTTCATAGACTTTTAAATTTTTGCTTTGCAATGCGGCCTAAAGTTTGTTTTCCAATGAAGTGTTCCTATTGTATCAACTATTTTATATTCCTCTGTAGCTGCTTTTGTTACAAAGTTTGGTAAGTGGAAGAGTGTAGCTTGCTTCTACGTATTGCCAGTTTGTTATTCTCATGTACTTCATACAACTTTTTTCTTTCAGGGGAAGCTTCTGTTCTCAACATCTTCTCTGTAACAGTAGGAAAAAACAAAATTCCCGTTGCTGGATGCAGAGTACAGAAGGGGTTGCTAGACAAAAAAATGAAATTTAAGTTAATCCGCAACAGAGATGTTATTTGGAAAGGTAAGCATAATTACCACAAAATGCGTATTTGCATTCAGCATTAGCCACTGCTAGTTCCCTGTGAAGCGAGTGCAAAATGCAGGCAGCTGATCGCAGCACCATCCCATGTGCTATTTAGGATGGAGTTGCTCCAGCTAGAGAAAAGCTGCAAATGCCACTACTACCCAGACCTTTCTCTAACCACCAGCTCTGGTAAGAAAGCTGTAGCATCACGGGATTTACCTGCTGAAAGGACTGACTTTTGTTAGCTGCCAAGTGCTCACAATCCCTACCTTTTCTTGCTTTCATTTTGTAGCTACAAGGTGAAACATTTGTTCTGTGAGAAGGGCAAACCAAACCACTTCTATGCTCTGATGTTAGTGGGCCCTTTCTTTGATGGACTTTCTCTTTACAGGATCCTTACTGTCACTGAAGCATCATAAAGATGATGTCCAGGTAATAAAAACAGGTATGGATTGTGGACTGAGTTTGGACAAGCATGTAGAATTCAGTATTGGAGATGAAATTATCTGTTATGAAGAAAAGGAAGTTCAACAGACAACTTCGTGGGATCCAGGATTTTAAAATATGTTTGAATAACATTAACCCTAAAGGACATGTATTACTCCTGGCTGGCCTTCAACTCTTAACATTAAATGAACTTTCAGAGATGCACAGGAGCCTCTTCATATCTGATGTTTGTATAACAACGTTCCGCTTTTAAGTCTTGTCAAGCAACCAGCTTACCTCCGTGGAACACGAGATAAACTACAACAATTGCAAGCACTTCAAGTGTGTAAAAATGTCACAGTATAAATATTTCTGATGACTACCTAGTTCCAAAATAGCTGAGCCTTCTTTCTCCTCCTTCAGCGCTACTACACAATTTTTCAGTACGTATTCTGCATTTTCTTAGTATGCCTCTACTCTCCTTTTCTCTAGCACTGACTCACTTGTAAACATGCCTTCAGACCCCTTGATCTCCTGTTTTTCTGGAGTGGAACTACTGTACTGTCTACTCCTCTCTTATTTAAAGGAGACCACTTCTAAGGTTAGCTAGAGTGTTGGGTTGGCTTTTTTTCTCTGCCATTGCTACCCAGTATCTCCTTTGAAGGAGATTTAACTAATCAAAGCCACTCTGCAGCATCAGTTTTAGAATCAAAGTATTTCATCCTAGTTGGCAGTTAGTATCTAAAGTTTCAGATTTTTAGTAGCAGAAAGGAAATAGTGCCACAAGAAGCAGAAATAAATCCTTAGACTGTACAGAACTTCAGATTTTTATTGTCTGGTACATTTACTTGTCTTCTGGTTTATTGAAGCAGTATGTCAGACAGCACTTGCCACAGTAGTGTCTGTCGAAGTGACTAGCCATGAAGACTCCAGCTCCACACTCCTCAGAGGGGCACTCCCGGCGCAGACGACTGATCTTGCCATTCTCATCCACCTGGGAAGGGCAAAGAGAAAACATCTCGTATATACTCGTCACCTTTTAGCACTGACAATTTTGATTATTTTTCCTTGGCGAAGACGTTTTTGTGGTAGTTACTACATCAAACTTCTTGAAGCAAAATTCAATGCAATGGTCAGTTTTTCTTCTGTTTCACGGGTGGGGTATTTGCAAATAGAAAGACTTTAAATAGGCCAGGCTACATGCAGACTAGTTAGGGGCTTCATGTC